TTGCTATCTCATGAATAATTTATGGTTTTCCCACAAGCTTTGAAAACTGAAATTTTTTAGTGTACGATGACACAGAGTAAATTTTTGAGAAAAACCGCTTTTAATTACACTGGCATTCAGACTTCTGAAATCGGAAGCTGTAAAATTGCTCGGATTTTTCAGCGATCGCAGTGGCACATTCCCCGCATTCTGATACATAATAATCTGATCCCAGGCAAATTCTAAACAGAGTGCTCAAAAAGTTGAAATTTCTCTGAAAAATCCACAACTTGGCACCTCACCAAGAAAATTAAATTTTGTCGTTTTATTAAAAAAAATTTAATACTTGTCACAACAGTTAAGCTTCATTACTAGCTCTCGCCCACCTCTGCAATTAATTTTAATTCCAGTTAAATAGCACACAATGCAGCCATTGTTTGGGTGCTGAAGCCCTGAAACTAGGACTGAAATTTGAAAAATAACAGTCTTTCCACTTTAAGAATCCAAGAGATCTTCAGCGGGAAATTTTCCGGATGCTAGGAAATTGGGATTAGTCGCTTTGTTTGGCTCCCTAGCACCCACCTTTCCAGATTATCTCTTTATGTTCTGCAAGATCGTATAAAGATATTTCAGTGAAATAAGTAAACAAAATTTACACATGTAAAAAATCAGATTATTGATTTAGCAGTTATTACGATAAAATATTTGGCATTCCAGTGTTTATTAAAACCGTTATGAGTCTACTACTGATGTTTAATACAATAGAATATTTTTCATTTATTTGACGATAAAAAGGGCACTAACAAACTGATTTTTCTCGTTCAAAACACGAAAAACAAATGTACATTATTGAAATTGAAGCAGCAATTTTTGTCTGCAAATTAAATTTAATGCAAAACTGGAATTATTTTGTCATTTATCATTTACTCTTGTTCATTTATTGACATATTGAGTGATTAAAATTAAAAAACCAAATTAAATGGCTTTTGATATAGTATAAGCCGACAATTTTAGAATTTTTGTAAATGTTATAGTATATTTTGGGCTATATTCAACTTTCTAATTTTAAATAGGAACCCAATGTTTTTTGTTTGTAATTTGGAATATGCTAGTTTGGTACAGACATGTGACTTTTATTGTTAAAAAAAAAAATTATCAAAGTTGAGAAAAAAAGTTGATAAAATCTAGTTGCATGGTGCCTATAAAAAATTGACGTTAATAATAATTTTATTAAAATTAAACAAATAGTTATTTATTATACAAGACGATAAACAATCTACGAGTGAAAAGGTTAAGTTTACGAGTGATAAAAGACTACTTTAACTACTGAAATTAGTTGATAAAATATAAACAGTAGATAAAAATTACTTTATTTCACTAGACGATAAAAGACTACTTCATCTACTGAAATAAGTTGATAAAAGCACTCTTTAACATTGGGTACAAAATAAATAAAATAATTATACCTTACAATATTACAATTATTTTTTATCACTAAAACGATTTATTTTTATTGCCAAATGAAGAATGAAATTTAAACACATCATTTCTGCCTTTAACGGGAAAAACGAGATGAATTTTTCAAAGCCAATTGAGAAAACAAATTTAAATTTATCATTTTTAAAAGTCATATGAAAGCTTTAATTGCATTTTTTTGGAATCCGCTGAGAAAAAAATTGACGAGATAGTTTTTTTATCTAATATTAATTTTTCGTGGCTAATTGGAAACATTAATTTAAATTCATTATTTTTGCGTCTTTTTCAAAGTAAATTCGAATTTAATTAAAATAGTTTTTTTTATGGATAATCGGTGAAGTTTTTGCAAAATCTTGAATTTGATTGGCTGGACACATTTATTGCTTCGATTACAAGGGCCAATAATAATCATTTCCCATTCACGTAATTACCACTAAGGTGAGAACAAACCGGTTTTTATTTCTTATTGGCCAAAATCCGACAAAAACTTAACAACGATAGGTAACTCCACCCATTTAAAAAATCGTAAATAATTATTGAATCAATTACGTCTTTTAAAATCAACCAATCAGAACATGTCTTAGATTTTTCGACAAGAAAAATGAAAATAATTAAAATTTTTGTTTTTAAACTCGGATTCAGTGATTTTATTGTCAATATAAAAAATAATTATTTTAAGAATAAACCTTAATTAATTTTCTTTACTGTCAAATGTCCAAACTGTCAAAATTTGACATTTTTGGAAGATTTACACAACAATGTGTGTTTAGTACATTTATTGTGTACTAAAATTTGTAATTTGCTTAATTTTTGATTTAAAAACACCGATTCGAGTCGTTTTTAAACGACTTAGCACAAAAATTCAAAATCATTCAAAAAAAGGTATTTTTTTGTTTTTTTCTTGTCAGAAGTGGCTTAGATTAAATTACTGCCAATAAAGTAAATAAATTAAGAAAATTGGAATATTGTTTCAAACCGCTTGAGAATATCACAAACTGCTTTATTTCAGCCTAAAATTCGGATTGAAGAAATTATTTTTGTAAAATACATTAATTTCGAATTATTTCTGTATTAAAATCGAGAAAAATTGAAATGAAATAACTCAAATTGATTTATTTTAGAAGGAAACTCTTATTCAAGCTAGTATTTTGTTGAAATATTTTGATCTAGGCCGATTCCCGTCTTAAAATTGAGTCGTTTTCAGTGGTTTAGTCTTTATTTGCCAAATCTTAAAAAAAAATTTGAAAATCCATAATTTGACAGATTAATTAAATTAATTAATTAATTAAATTAGGGCAATTTTCTGATGCAAAATAGTTCAAAAAAATTAAATTCCTAAACAAAAAAGAATTTTTTTGTGTTTTTTGTCAGCGGTGGCTCACTACAGAAACAGA